AGATTGACAATTAACAAATGGGACCTCCTGAAACTAAAAGGCTTCTGTAAGGCAAAGGACACAGTCAACAAGACAAAAAGGTAGTCTACAGAATGGAAAAAGATATTCACTAACCCTACATCTGACAGAGGGCTAATCTCCAAAATTTACAAAGAACTCATGAAGCAAGTCTCCAAAACACCAAAGGATCCAATTAAAAGGTGGGGTACAGATCTAAATAGAGAATTCTCAGTAGAGGAGGCTAAAATGTCCAAGAGACACTTAAGAAAGTGCTCAACATCCTTAGCCATCAGGGAAATGCAAATCAAAACAACACTGACATACCATCTTACTCCTGTCAGAATGGCTAAAATCAAAAACACCAAAGACAATTTATGCTGGAGAGGATGTGGAGAGAGGGGAACACTCCTCCACTGCTGGTGGGAGTGCCAACTGGAATAGCCACTTTGGAAAGCAGAATGGAGATTCCTCAGGAAAATGGGAATCAATCTACCACAAGACCCAGCAATTCCACTCTTAGGCATATATACAAAAGAGGCAAATTCATACAACAAGGGCATCTGTTCCACTATGTTCATAGCAGCAATATTTGTAATAGACAGAACATGTAAGCAATCTAGATGCCCCTCAACTGAAGTGTGGATAGAGAAAATGTGGTACATTTACACAATGGAGTATTACTTAGCAGAAAAAAAAACAATGAAATCTTGAAATTCCCAGGTAAATGCATAGCACTGGAAGAAACCATCCTGAGTGAGGTAACCCAGTCGCAAAAAGACAAACATGGTATGTACTCACTCATATATGGATTTTAGACATGGATCAGGATAGTCTGGATAGACATTCTGGGAAACAGGAAAGAACCTAAAAGACATGCATAGTACCCAACAAAAGAGGAATGATGCAAGATCCTCTGAACAGATGAGGAACAAGGCTAGGGGTGGGGGTGGGGTGGGAACTGGGAAGAAGAGGGGGGAGAGGGGAAGACAGAGTAGGTAATGGGGGAGCTGGAAGGTTGAGTGGGGGGGTAGAATAGGGGGAAGACAGAATCATAGGTTAGAAGACAGATCAGGCACCAGTGTGACCTCTAGTTATCTAAATGGATGACACCAATTGGCAAGCTAAGCAATAATGGAGAGACCACCTCGAATGCCCATTCCTGATAATGAACTTGATGTCTATAACCATGCTGGAGCCTTCATCCAGTGACTGATGGAAGCAGAGGCAAACACTCAAAGTTAAACACTGAACTGAACCCAAGGAACCCAGTGACAGAGAGGAGCGATGAGCAAATTAGCAAAGAATGGGCTGGCAAAACCAGCAGAGACAGCTGATCTGAACAGGGGAGAGCTCTTGGACCCCAGACCCACAGCGGGGAGGCCAGCATGGGACTGATCTGGACCCTCGAATGTGAGTGTCAGTGGAGGAGGCCTGGGCAACCTATGGGGCCCTGAGCAGTGTATCAGTGTTTATCCCTGGAATACAAACAGACATTGTGTGTCCATAGCACAAAGAGGGATGCTCTCTCAGCCTGGACTCTTAGGGAAGTGCCTGGACCCTACCCTGAGTGAAATGACAGACTCGAGATATCCCCTATATGGAAGGAATTGGCAATAAGGTGGGAGGCTGGGGGGGGTATGGTGGGTGTTGCGGGAGGAGGGGAGGGAGAGGGAACTGGGATTGACATGTAAAACAAGCTATTTAAAATTAAAATAAAAAAATGTTTAAAAAAAAAGAGTACAAAGGGTGTAGCAGAGAGTCCTGCAGAGGGAACAGAGCTTCATTACCATTAGAGTAAACAAGTGTCATGACCTTGTCTCTGGAGAGAGTTTCCCTATCACAAAACATGCTAGATTTTTCAGGATCTCTAAAGTGTATGGACCCAAAGACTAAGTACAAATGGCTCACGGAGGTGTCTAATAACATCAAAGTGGATGCTAGGTGCCAGAACCTTGTAACATTGCTAGTACCTCTTACAAAGTCCTGGCTCCTCTCAGAACTTCTCACACTGGGTGCCTCCTCTAAAGTTGTCAACCCCCAGCTTCAATTCCCTTGCCACACTTTCTCTTTCCAAGAAGTATTTTCTAATGTTCACGTATACTGTGCCTAATGTTACATAATAATTTGTATAATTTTACACTTTGATCATTATTAGATAGTAAATTGTGTAACAAACATGATGTGATATATTACTAGTGATCACTCTACATATAACTTATGAGAAGAAAGAGAGCAATCTATGGGAAAGTATATTTCTAGGAATAAAAATATACCTACGCACACTAGTACTGGAATTTGGTAAATGTTTTAAAGATGACCAGAATGGAAGAGACTGGGTAAGAGATGACAAAAGTGGACAACTGGATGACAATTGTTTGTGTGGCTCTGACCTCAGGTGAGACATCAGGAATCGCTGAGCACTGAATATATTAGAATTGTCTCTTATGCCTATAAAGGACAATCACCGTGGAGACACTGGAGCAGGCCACAATACCCAGACGTAGTATATCATGAAGCACTATAATATTATATACAATACAGTTGCAATAATAGCAGAAACAAACCACAAGCACTACCACAAATCACCTTCAAATCATATTTTTCTTGTAAATGGAACATGGCACTCTTGCCCAAGATATTTATGTGGTAAATATACAGTAATATTGTTGTCCAATGTCATCCAGGATGTACTTAAATAAAAAAATCTGACATTGTCTGTGAAATTCCTCTTGAGATGAGAAACAAGCAGTTGACTTAAGTCAGGTCTTTTGGGATTCAGTGCTTCTAATGAATAACAAAATGGCACAATAAAATAGCTTGGAATAATTGTCAAGCCTAACCACTGGAGTCTGGAAGGAGAGGAAAATTCCCATTGCCAAGTTTGCAAAAGCCATATTCAAACGTATTTAATAAGTAAATAAATTGATAGTGTCAACAGAACCTGGAAATTATTTCATAGGTAGTTTAAATAAAATACTCATAATTTTCATATATTTACTTAGCTGTCTCACTGATGCCTGAAAGTTTGGTCTTTATAGAAATAAATATTCTCAGCCCCATCTCTTGTGGAAGACTTAGACCCACACCTCACTGGCCACAGCATCTTGCATCAAGTGTTAGTGTAGGTAGGGGAGATTTGGCATTCGCTGCTCTAACCACCCCAGGACTCTCCAGTTCATAACTTCTGGCATGGATGCAGGGAGAGAAAGACTCATCCTCTATTCAGGGTTTGGCCTCTAGGAATTCCACCATGTTCCAATGTGTATGGAAAACACAAAATGAACTTGGTTTTTGTTGTGTTTATTTTTAGGACTGTGGTGGAGGGACACTGGGGAGAGGGGCAGAAAGGAAAGAATTGGAATTGTGCACAATTGCTGTACATGATGTGAGATTCCCAAATAATCCATAAAAATCACTTTTAATAACAGAAGCATTCTCTATTATTTCAATGAAAATTATTGGATACACTTAATAAAGTTTAATGTTTTCACAGGATGTAGTGAAACAAGCCTTTGATCCTCGGACTAAAGAAGCAGAGGCAGTCAGATCTATGAAATTAAGGTTAACATGGGCTATAGAGACAGTGCCTGGATATCTAGGGCTATGCAAAGAGAAAGCCTGTATAAGGAAAAAAAAATAACAAAATAACAATGGTTATGGCAATGATGATGAAGATAGAAAAAGAGAAATTAAAAAAGATTATTTTCATTGGTTCTGGCTGAACCCTATGATTTGAGATAATTTTCAAAGAATTTTCAAATCATGAAATAATTTCAGAGTTTAACCAGCCAAATTTGAAATTCACTCAGATAAACAACAGAAAATATTTGACAATTTTATTTAGAATGAGTTGTTAAATTTTAGAACTATGTAAGAAATATTTACTTTAAGTTTCCTTTTTATTCATGTTATTTAATGTATTTAGTAATCAATTATTTTCACATGTGTGCATGGGGAAAATGCTTGTGAGTGCCAGCAGAAACAGAGGATGAACATGACCAAGAATTAAGGAAATACAATGAGGGATTGCAAATCACTGCTAGAAAGTGAGATTACATCCCCTAGCAAACAAGCTCTAATGCAAACAATTTAGCATAAGTAAAAGTAGGGTTACCTCGTGGTCCTACTGACATATAAGGGCGTGTTCACTCATGACACACATATTCACAGAAGCACACATATAAAATGGTTTTGTTTGAAAGGCAAGTCCAGTAGAAGGGAAATCCATCATAACTACTAGCTAAGAGGTTTGGAGGGTCACTAGGCCACTGAAGCACATGACTCTGGCAGGCCTCACCTTTAACCCCCATTCCCTCTGTCTTGCTAAAAACCATTACATTACCTTCCTAAAGCTAGGCACCAAGATTTATGCACTTATTTGGCCACTTCTTCCTCCTGAGGCAGACTATCAAGGCTCAGCTATCAATGAATCACTGTCCATGAATCAAAAGCACCTTGGGCTCACCTAAATATCATGCCCAATCAAAATTAAATATATTATGCTAATAGGGATTCCCCTTGAACCTAAACTGTCATTTTCCTATGGGTCACAGCTGTCTTCTCTCTATCCAAAGGCAGTTCTTTGTCTCTCTTTGGGAAAGAAACATCTGACCTCTTTCCCCCTAATCCAGTATAACCTTTGCCATCACATGCTAGCCCATTATATGAAAGACCTTCCCTTCTTCTCGAAAAAGTCCATTTGCTGCTATTTTCTGGCACAGTAAGAAAGCAGTCATTTTGTCTATTCTTTCCACTGTTCTCACTGTGAAAACCTGTGTTTGGATGTGGTTTGTCCCTAAACAGGATCAGGGAGAAAGCCCTAGCCTTGCAGGTGTGTGTGAGGGGTTCTCTTTCTCTATGATATTGACGTCTTTACCTCACATGGGGTATAATTAGTAAGAGAAGCATTGTCACAAATTGTGTAATAATAGAGTGACCCAGGAAAACACACCACACAAAGGCACACCAGAAACAACACACAGAAGGAACACAGAAGCATAAACATTTATTTAGTATTTGGAAATAAAACACCAGTTACTTTTAGGCATTTGGCAAACGTCAGAAAACAAACTAACATTTGAATCATCTCCTTTACACTCATATATATGCCCATGGGATGGGAGAACAGAAAGAAGGAACAATCCACAAGGTGATAAATCTTCTCTGGTTAAATGTTCCTTAAAAACTACATGCTTCTTCATGTGCAGATGACACACTCAGGCTAAAATCAGCAAACCTCTGCTGAGGAAGGTTAAACAGTTCAGTCTCATTTGTGGTAATTCCTCAGGTGACGGTTGTAGGTGGATGACTGACGGAACTGACTGTTACACAGGGAGCAGGTATAGGGCTTCTCTCCTGTGTGAATCCTCTCATGAGCCTGCAGATTGGTCTTGTGGTTGAAAGACTTTCCACATGTGCTGCATGTGAAAGGCTTCTCTGGCTTGGGTATGGCCTCAGGAACACAGAGGTCTGCGCTTTCATAGAAACCTGTGTGACCATGGGTAGAGAAGAATGACTTCTCCACCCTGTGACTTTTCTGGTGGACTGAGAGGTTACAGGGATATCCGAAGGTCCTGGGACATTCCTCACATTTGTATGGCTTGAGTTCCTTCTGGAGTTTTTCTTGGTGACCCTCACATATAAAACTTCCCTTATGACACTTCCAAAGAGGAACAGGCTCAGAGGTGGGCTGCTCTGGCCTAGAGAGGTACCCTGGTATTTCCCTAGATATATGTCGAGAACAATGGGTTGTTAGGGACATTGCCTGGGACCTGGATGTGCCCCAAATTGCTCTTGCAGAATCCCCGAGAACTCCGTAAGAAACACCTCTCTGTTCAGGCTCAGGATTCTGCCCTCTCTGAATTATGAGAAGGGAATCTCTCTGATTTTTGAGATTGCTAACACCACAATTTACATTAGTTGTGGTCAAGTTAATGTAGTGGCCATCTTCAGTGTCTTCAGACTTGTATGTGCAGGAGAGATACACTGGCTGCACAACCATAGTGATATGTTCATAGGAAGGAGCCCTAAGGGACTCTGCCTGGTACAGGGAGCTGCCTTCACTTGCTCTGCTGAGATCCAGAGGAACTCCATAAGAAACACCTGCCTCTTCAGGCTGAGGATACTTCCCAGTCTGAATAATGAGTTGGGAGTACATCACATTTTCAGGACTACTAAAAACACTGTTTGTTTCATGACCTTTCAAGAACACGTTTTGGCCATCTTCACTGTTTTCATAACCTGTGGAAATAAAAGAGTATATGAAACTGTTTCCAGCAAAGAACATCATCTTACAAAATCCATTATCTGTCCAGTTTCCCTGCTCACCTGTTGCCAATAAATTGTCTTGTGGGAACTGCAAGGGTGTTGTTACATTCTGCTGTTTTGCAGTTTTTAATGATTGCTGTTCTTTCAAAAGCTTGATGACTTCTTTTAAGGACATGTTCTCAGGAAAGAGGGCTTCCTGTCCCTGCATGGAGACATGAACCTGGAAACAAAGCCAGATGACCATTAACAATGAATCTGTGGATGAGAGAAAACCTGCCCTCAGTTGATTGCATGGAATCCCTGGATATGGGTTAGCTCATATGTGTGTCCCTCATTTCTATTGATGTTATCTTGGCGTCTACAGGTTCTGTTCCCTGAAGTCACTATTCTCACTGTGTTTGTAAGTGTTGAGTCACTGTCTCTAGGGCAGTAACAAAATTATGTTCCTAGAGTTTTGGCCAGAATATTTTCCTCAACTGTTCAGTGCATTGAAGGAGGATCAGATGAAATTAGGCCAAACTTCCAACAGGGAATGTCCCCTTTAAGAACAGGTGATAATTTTTCCAGGGATTTTCCCCAACCCTATAACTCACAAAAAACATATTTCAAATAATACCAAATAAATGTCTTGGGTAAAAGAATACAGTGCAACTTAGGACCAATCAGAAAGAGTGGGAGTGTCTCAAGGAAAGTGTAAAATTCCCTACGTGGTCTCTCATTTCTGGAGATCCTCTTATTCCCTTGATTGTATTTATCTGCCTGTTCTGATAAAGTTTGTCTCTTTTAAAAAAAATGTCTCCATGCCTGGAATTTCACAGTTTCTCATCAATTTGTAACTCCCTTTTTTCAATCATTCACTTGCCCCCAGGAACCTTGGGATATCCACAGGCATTGTCTGGTTCATGGCAATGCTACTCCAATAGAGCTGCTGCTTTAGACTCCACCCTGTGATCAATGATAGACTGGCCTGATTCCATCTTAAGATTAGATACCATGGAATTATAATGTCAAAAAGAACTTCATAGCTGTTGTCAGTAAAATTTAAATTGAAGTATGTCTTGACACATTTTCTGAAATTTTGCATGTTCTGCAGCCTATACTGTGGCCATATCCTGACCTCCTTCCTGAGAAGATGTTCTGGCAAATCATTTTGAAATGTTCTGTCAAATTTCTATGTAAACCAAAAAGTCCCCCAACCCCTGGGTTTCCCTTAGTCTTAATGTTTGTTAAACTATGGAAACCCACCCTTTCTCTCCTGTATTTACTGCTATTTTTCTCAAAGCTATTTTCTGGGGTGTAGACCCATGTAACAGAGTATAAAGCTTGCTGAATTTGACAAAAAAAATCAAACCTATGTGTAATGATCTTTATTCTTGTTCAGTGGGATTAACAAGAGGTAAATGTTAATTTCTATCTGGAATCCTCAGAAACTCAACTGTAATTCTGGAGTACCTGACATTTTGGCATTCTAGCCTCAGATTGGCAATTGCTATTTCTGTCTTTGAGCCTCATGTTCTTAACCATTGTCATTCTCAGATCTCTGAGGCTTTCTGATCCCCTATCTCCACCCATTATTCTGTCAGTGTTCTCTCACTATCTACCTGTCATTTCACTTTGCTGTGTTCACTGGGCATCATTTGCAGTAGGTATAATTTGTTGTCTGTCCCATTGACTACTAGCCCTAGAGAGCCATACTTTACCAAAGATGCCCTTTAAAAGAAAGCTTTAAATTGTTGTTTGTCATTGATTTATTATTGAGTATTTAACAAAACTAATGCCTGTATGAATTAGACTAACATATACATTAATTCCACAAACTGCAATTTGTCTCTGCTCTTAGGAACATGACTCATCATTCGGGCATCAGTTTACTTGGAATTCAGTTACAATCATAAAATTCTCAATTAAAAACAAAGTTCAGGTGTGACACACTGAAGAATAAAACAAACTGTCAAACGTGAACCTGGTTACAGAGTAATAAATTCAAACAAACAGCAGTGTTTAGTTATTGACACCTTCAATCCAGCACTTCAGAATACTGGGCCAACGAGGGCAACAATATGAAATCATGCTTCAGATTGAGTTCAAGGTCAGCCTGGTCTACAGAACTAGTTCCAGGACAAGCTACATAGCATTTTGGAAATCCTGTCTATAAAAAACAAACAAAAAAAAAACAGGAAGGAGGGAAGGAAGGAAGGAAAGAAGGAAGGAAGGAAGGAAGGCAGGAAGGAAGGAGAGAAGGAAGGGAATGTGAAAGGGAGGTAGGGAGGGAGGGAGGGAAAAAGAAAGAAATCCTACTCTACCATTGTGTCACCCCAGTAATTTAGACCGGTATCTTCTGACATGGAATAAATATCTTGAAAAGCCAGTATCCACTTCATTCCCCAGTTTCTTCTTCCCGCATCCAGGTATCATGGCCAAGTTCTAGGTGTCAAGTTTTTAGCCAGATTTCCAATTCAATTTCAAGATTCATACAATTTGAGCACCTCTGTGTCTGAGCCAGGGTACATACCCACAGCATCTCCTCTAAAGCCACAAGGGCTCTGTGCAAATGTAAGCCCTTCAATCTCTATCTCCATTTAAATTAAACTTAGTTATTACTCTCAAACAGTTGATACACTTGTTTCTCCTTTATTCATGATAATTTAGATTACTGGATATTCTCTTTGCAACAACTTTGTAATGAGTGAGCACTTTCACTAATAAAAATAAATGAATAAAATGACAGAAATAAAATTTAAATAATCTCACTAATGACAACTTCTTATTTATTCCCAAAGGCAATGACAGTCTCCTCCCAACTCATTCGTCTCTCACCCCAGGTACTCACCATGACAGGAGGCTTCAAGCACTCATCATTCAGACCCTCCATGAATCTCCCCATGTCTCTGCCACTTGATTCCCACTTCTCTTTAATGGCAAACGTGTTCTTGCAGCGCCCCGTTTTGAGAAATTGCTCCACGACCAATTGAGAAATCATCTGCTCCTTGCTCTGCTTTTCTGGCTGCAACCAGGACGTGAACATCTCCCAGAGAGTTTGAAGCTCCTGCTTTGCACAGGAGCCATTGTTATTTGGGGGAAAGTTGAGCTGAGCAATTGAGGAGTTAGGCATGTTTCCTTCCCACTGCACAGGAGAAACCTGGTTTGGAATAATCTCTAGATTGTCTAGTTCAAGCTCATTTACTGGTGACTCCGTTTGAAATTTTTCTCTGAGCTGTGAAGCCATTCTGGTGAGGATCCTCACAAAGATGCAACTTTGTCAGGCAATTATCTGTTGTGTGACTTGAAGGTCTGTTGAAACAGTTGTTGGATGTGTAAAAGCTATAAATTAAAAGGAGAATGGATGATTAAAGTCAAAAATCAACTGAGAGTTCTCAGTAAATACCTGATCCTAGTTTTTACATCCATAAAACAGAATAAAGATTATATATAAACTGGAAAAATATATGACTCAACAGGGAGAATAATCTGGTGGTGAGGATAGTGAGACTAACCAGAAGAGTACACCGAGCTGTGCAGGAGCTCAGGGTTTCCTGTGTCCCCAGAAATCATGAAGTTATTGTGGCTAATCCTCTGATTTTGAGTTTGATCAAATTCCCCCATTATAAAGTTCCATAGAACAATTGTTGTGGAAGAAAAGTACTAGAAGTGAAGGACAAGCCACATTAAATCACAGGGCAGCAATGATTTCTGAAATACTGAGGCAAATATGGAACCCCAGAAAAGTGGAGATAGAAGCCATAGGATTGTAGTGCAGGTCTATACTTAGTGAGTTTGTGAGCAGACTAGGCTACAAGACACCCTTCTGCAAAAGGAAGCAAGCACACACACACACACACACACACACACACACACACACACACACACACACACATTATCTGGCCACAACATTTTTATTTATCCACAGACTAGTTCTCACATCATGTCTACCAAACATCATGTTTCCCTCCAATAAAATACAAGCCACTCTCTTCCTACAGAGATGATATCTTTTCAGTCTCTGTCTTTTCTGTGCTGTGCTTCAGACACCTCCTGGGAAATTCTTTCTCTCTATCTCAATCCCCTGCCAAGGATTTTAACTTGTTCACCTAAGCATTTGAGTTACAAAAATCTTTGGAATTAGGAAACATTAACAAATTTGGATTGAGCTATATGTGAGAACACAGGATCAGATGTTTTGGGACATAAATGCCACTCAGTCTTAACATTACCTCTCACTGTGGTACTGTCCCTTTCACTAGAGTGACTTACTATGCTTTGCTAGGATGTGTTTTTTTCCATGTAATCTTCAGATATAAAGAGCTGGAACTGAGATTGGATTCATCTTTGAAAGCTGGCTGTTTGTTGCACACACCTATAATCCCAGCACTCGGGAGGCTGAGGCAGGCAGATCTCTGTGAGTTGGAAGCCAACCTGGTCTACAGAGCAAGATCCAAGACAGCCTCCAAAAGAATACAGAGAAACCATGTCTTAAAATAAAAAATAAAAAACAAACAACAACAACAAAAAAATCCACAAAGTATTCATCTTTGATTCAGTGGGGAAAGTAGTCTGTTTATCATTTTTTAATCTGATTCAGTGTCTCTCTTTGTAACCCTAACTGTTCTGGAGTCCCCTATATAGACCTGGCCCAGGATTATATAACTTTCCCACATGTGTACTTGGGACGACTTATGTCTTGTACTACCCGATTTGTGGGGGATTTTCTTTTCTCTTTATTTAAATCTATATGTTCTTATTTTTTATTTTCTGTCACAATAGCACAAAGAGTATTTCGTTTTTAGAGTTCTGGTGTGAGAAAAAAGAGCAACAGCTTGAACACACTTTACTAAGATCTTAAATGCTCAGCTGTGAGTCAGCTTTTTCTGTCTTCTGATGTGTTCTGGAGGGGATACGAATACCGTAGAATACATGTGCTTACCACATAAGAGGCCCTAGCTCTGTGCTTTAAAATCATTCGCTAACCCCAATACTCAGTGTAAGGTCAGATGGATTTGAAGTATCCCGTGTCAATATCAGCTACCTCATCGGGAGTGCTTTCCACCACCCTCAGCCCTCCATCCATTTGGGCCGTTACATACCATCTGGAGAAACAGGAGCCTGTGCAGGAGCTGAAGAAGCCTTGTTTGGTGTTTACCAGAAATTCCGGGGTCTTTCGTAAGGGCCACAGTTGGGGATGAGATTATAGCTGCCTGTTGCTTTTCCTGACTGATGGGGAAATGGCTTCTCATGTTACTGCCTCAGGCTCCATGGAAGGGGTCCTGAAGTTCTGCTTTCTAGACAGGCAGTTGAAAGAGTCACTCTTGTTCAGCATGCAAATTGCAGTCCAGCCACGCCTGTGCCTCTGGTCCTTCTACACTGGTAGTCTTACTTTCATTTTGATTCCATTGTGTGTGTGAGTGTTTTCAGTTGTAATACACAGAACCCCCCCCATACACACGTATGCCCGCACACACACATACAGAGGCACACACATCTACAATTTATTTTTTAATATTTGAGAGGAAATGTCTCTGTACCTCTTGCTGAGCTAGTGATCCTTATGCATCTACCTCCTAAGCACCACCCCCAACCCCAGCCAAGAGTTTTACACAGGAAAAAAAAATCGCCCCACACTGAGCTGTCTAGGCAAGAATGTCTGCAGTATCAAATGCCCTGAGACCACCTAGAGAGTAATAAACAAGTCAGCAAGGGGAGCATGCTGTGAGCCATCCTCAGGCAAATATAAATTCCTATCTGCTATTATTTAATTCAGCCGTTTAAGAGACCCCCTCCTTTGCCTATTTAGTGGACCTGAGTCCCTACTTCCTTGTGAAATCCACCTCACATATAAATTGTAGCAAATAGACCAGCCTGTATCCAAAAATACCTTTTAGTAATTAACTTCTTCTCTTCTTCACCATAAGATGTGGAGTTCATTCACAGAAAACAGTTTCCAGTTCCGGATCTACTTATACAAAATTGTATTCAGCAGTTCTCAGAAGTCCGTCAGAGTCGGCTCTTAATTCCTTGCTAGCAATCCCATTATATTTTGAAAGTCAGAATGTCATTGAAAGGGAAAGCTCCCCAAGATTGTAATCCCAGTGTCCCTGGTCAGCCAGCGATGCTGGGAAAAGGCAAAGATGGAGAGGTACTCATTGTTTTCCATTGACCATCACAGACATGCTGTGGTACACACGTACTCTCACATACTTCATACACATATTCACACTGGAAAGAGAAAGTTGTTCAACTATGTTCATTACCACCCTATTCATAACGGCAAGGATTCTGAATGATAGACATGATGTGAACATTGTGATCTGGGAAGGAATAAAAACTGTGTGACGAAAATGAAAACATGTTGTGGTTCTTTCTTATTTTTCCTTCCTTACCTTACTTTTTTCTGTTTTTATTTCTTGTTGTTGCAACATGTCTTCCTGTTTGTTTAGTGTTGGGATTAAATGTGTGTGCAAGGGATTAAAGCCCATTGGATTTTTCTAAGCATTTGTGGTTAGCCTGAATGGTAACCCCTGCAATACCCACAAAATTGTATATACTTCCTTACCTTATTCTTTGCTTATTTTTTTCTGTCTTTATTTCTTGTTGTTGCAACACGTCTTCCTGTAGCCGAGTCTTCTCCCAAATATACAAAGCAATTGTGGATGACCTTACACTCCAGTCTTGTGCTTCTGCTCATAGTCTGGTATTGCAAGGGGAACTCACTACTTCAAGCATCCTTCTGTTTGTTTTTCTGTTCAGTGTTGTTTTGAAGACTTTGTGCTTCTGTGACCCAGGCTGCACTCATACTCAGAGATGCACCAGGCTGTGTTTTGTTTTGAAAGACCTGAAGTAAGCGGACTTCAGACTGAATACCCCGGTGATGTCCCGAGCTCAATAACTATACAGTTGGATGCCACCGCAAGAGATTTAAGTTTTTTACACAGGCATCTGTGGGCCATTCAGCAGCTTGGCTAACTGAATGCGCCCAGCCCCTAGGACAGCTTTCGTTTTATATACATAATTTTGGCAAGCAAAGTAATAGGGGTATTGCAAGGAGTGGAGCTACTGCAGGGGCAGATCTGGGCAAGCAATAGGGGTTGTTCCTCCCTGGAGAAACCACAAGGTCAGATTTACACTTATCTCTACAGCCTGCCGGGTTCCTTCATTAGCACTCTGGACCAGATGTTCTTTTTAATTAGACCTTGTTCCCTGTCCAGGGGAAGGGACCTTGGGGAATTTTCCACTGAGGTAAACTTCTCAAAAAGGGGGGTGTATTGAGGTTTTTCAGTTTAGTGTTGGGATTAAACGTGTGTGCAAGTGATTAAAGCCCATTGGATTTTTCTAAGGATTTGTGGTTAGCCTGAATGGTAACCCCTGCAATACGCACAAAATAAGCAAATACTGACACACTGGTATGTTTTGTTTGTATTGTTTCTTGTTATTGTTTTTGTTTTTTTCCAAACAGGGCTTCTCTCTGTAAAAGTCCTGTCTGTCCTGGATCACACTTTGTGGACCAGGCTGGCCTGGAACTCACTGAGATCCCCCAGTCTTGCCTAGCTGGTGATAGCATTAAAGGCTTGAGCCAACCCCACCAGGTTAGTGGTAGGTTTATTATTCTCATGCAAACAAATATTTTCATAGGAATACTTCTTCTGACTAACATTGCTTTAATTTATTAAAATCCAGATTATCATCAACAAGAATAAATGTCAATGCAGAGAAGTCAGATTTTATATTTTATTTTAGTAGCAGTAGGAGTAGTATTTTTTAGTTTTTCAAGACAGGACTTCTCTGGGTAACAGCTCTAGTCCTGGAATTCCCTCTGTAAACCAGGCTGACTTTCACTCAGAGATATCCTCTTGCCTCTTCCCACTAATGATAGCAGTCACCTCATGAGGCACCTTTTTTCTACTGAAGATGAAAACATGGTTGTACATTTTGGCTAATTCATTTGCAGCATTTTTAATTCTTTCCCTATCATATGACATTTTTTTATTCTCTCAGGAGAACTTTTCAGCTTGAGGATTCAACACTGAAGATGTTTTTGGATGTGGATTTTAAAGACAGACTTCAGGAATTTTGGTTTTTGATCTTCTAGGATTCTTTAGAATAGGATAGTATCTTGAGTTCTGTCTTTTCTGTTGTGGTTAAACACATTTTAACATAAGACAACAATCTTAGGGGTAAGCTATCATATTGTATTACTAGGTATTTCACAATTAATTAGTGACTATGTGAACAGACTAGACTACAAGGAATTCATTTGCAAAAACAATCAAACACCACGAAAGTAGCAAATGTACAAAGAGGAGACAGAAAGACACCCTCACTTGTCCATCCACAGTTTAATTACTGCCCAGGATGAAACTCTCACATTATGTCTCACAAAAATCACATATTTCCAAAATAAAACACCTCACTGCTCACAGATGTGGTTCCTGTCTAGCATGTCTTTTCTATGTTGTGCTTCAGAAAAGTGCTGGACACCTCCCACCCTTTTTCTGAGACAATGTTCTTGACAGACATTATAGAAAAATAAAAACATAACTTTACTTTTTTCTTGGGAACAGAGATGCAACACTAATGAATATATACTGAGTAGTTACTTGGGAACATAAATCGTGAATACCAGGGTAACAGCATTATAAATGGAATTAAACAAATGAGATAACCAATGATCCCATGTAATCATTTGGATTGCAGTTTCACTGATTATTATTATCTGGCTCTGTTTACAGGTTCCTGTGTCCATGCAGGGATAGGAAGCCCACTTTTTTGAGAACATATCCTTAAAAGAAGTCATCAACCTTGTGAAAGAACAGCATTCAGCAACATCATCAACACAAGAGATTGCTAGAACACACTTGCAAATCCTACAAGCCTTTTTCATTGGGACCCGGTGATTGTCAGGTACCACAGAGGAGGGGTTTTTGGTGAGGAAGCTGTCTTGGGAACATTTTCACAGACTGTCTTATTTTCTCAAACATGATGACAGTGAAGATGGCTACAACAATCACTTGAAACTTAATAAAGTAAATGGTGGTGGTCAGAGTCCTGGAAACGATATAGACTCCATTTTTATTATTCTAGGTGATAAAGGTCCTGAGACTGAGGAGGGAGGAATTTCTCATGGATTCTCTCAGGATTACAGAAAATCAAATCAAGTCACCTCCAGGTACCATGGATAGTCTCAGATGGCATCTTCTTCTGACGATGTTCCAATAGAGGAGGTAGAACCAGAGAATATGTCCAGGCAAGAGCAGACTGAAGACTGCCAGATTCATGAGGTGACTCCACATGTGAGAGTCACCGAGAGGGACTCCACAGAGAATCTAAGACATGCAACTGTGAGGAATTTCCCAAACCTTCAAATATCCCTCTAGCCTTTTAGACCACCAGAGAAAAGAAGTAGAGGTGATTTTTCTGTACCAGGTATCAAAAGGTCTTCTCTAATCACTCATACCTGAAAGTGCAATCCTTCATACACACGAAAAACATGTAGTACATGTGGAAGTCCTTTCAGCCATAAAAATAATGTGCTAGCGGATGAGAGGGTTCACATAGGAGAGAAGGCTTATACCTGTTCCCTGTAAAACCAAAGGCTCTGACAGTCATCCATGACAGGCTCATGAGTAATTGCCACAAATCAGGCTGAACCTTGCTTGGCAGAGGACAGCTGGGTTTCAGGCTTAGTGTAACCCAGCTTAACAGCATCTAGATATTGAAGATGTGACATGTAACTTCTGGATTGCTTCAATGCCGTCAAATTCCATTGCCATGTGCCTGTAAAGAAGATGTGTTATTTTTCTGTTTGTTAACATGTTTCAAATGCCAAAATATTGCATAATTTTTGCCTGGTATGTATTAAATAAATAAATGGAACTGGAAAGTAAATGCCTCTTTAGTATTTGTGTGTGTGTGTGTGTGTGTGTGTGTGTGTGTGTGCATGTGTGTGTGTGTGTGTGTGTGTGTCTGTATGCCTGTGTGTGTGTGTCTGTCTGTGTGTGTGTGTGATTTCTGAATTTTTGTTTTTTGCCTTTGTTTAAATTCAAAAGTGAACAATATGGGAATTATTAGTCACTTCTTGATTTTACAAAGGGAAATTGGCACTATGCACCAATTTGTCTGACCTCACAGAAACTGAATATTCTCTAGTTTCCAGCATCCTTCTCTACATGTGTTCATGACAGTGGCCTG